GGAGATCCTTCCGTGCTTAAGCTCTGTCTGACGACGTCGCTTGAAGTCCTCTACACTGCCATCCGCAGTAAATCCTGCGGGATCCCAAAATCCAACAGGGGCTTGCACGCCCAACTCATTCTCAAAGGCGCTCAGTGTGACCTGGCACGCATGCTTTTCTAAGACAAACATTCGTGGCTTTCATGGGATTCATTCCCTTCACCAGTACCAAAGTAAAGACCGTCTCCATCCCTCTACCAGTACTTGTACCTCCTTTATAGATACAAACAAGTTGGCAAGTTTGCATTTCGAGTGCGCTAGAAAAGTTTCAACTCCCAGCTACCAAGCCATTCCTCTCGACTGGTCCCATGGCGCACCAGCTGTGGCTTAATGCTGCTACCAAGCGCCTCAGCATGGAATGGAGACAGTTCTAAAAAGCTGATTCTAGGGTGTTGGGGTGTTGAAAAAGGAGCAAGTCAAAGTGAGTCGCAAAATATCTTCCGAATCAAACGCACATCCGCACTGGACTTCTGCTCAAACCACGCTGGCCTTGCGCCCACTGGCTGTCAGCGCTGCAAAGGCTGTGCCAGCCACCGCCAGGGAGGCCGTTCTGCTAGAATAAGCTGCCTGGCATGGGCGAACGATTCCACATGTACTTCAAACAGGAGTGACATCCTCTATATGTCATCTCTATCTCTACAATGACAATGTGTCTTGAACTAAGAAAGTGTTCTGCTCGCACCTTCAGTTTCATCTGTCTCATCTTGGAAATTCGGCGATGGGCTCTCCAATTGGATCACAAGTTCCACTGCAAACTGCACACATGTGCAAACCTTTACTGTATTAATGTTTCTCCAACCATCATCTCTATATGCAAGAGGCGTCACTAATCAACGACATGAAGGCACACTCAGCTACCTCCAGGTTAGGTGCCGACGCAGCCGATGTTCCAGCCGCTGTGGCCTAGGCATTTGGAGCATTGCAGCGATGCTAAGAAGAAGAAGAAGCCTCAGGCACTTGCGATAGCTAGCATGCCTTTACCTTTTTGGGTGCCCAGAAACGGCTATCCAAATCCAGCAACACGTGGTGGATTGAAAAGGATTGCTTTAAGCTTTTGATGCAAATTCAGCATTCTGGGTCAATGGCACGAAGATTGCTTGTGACTGGAGCTGACACAAAGCTGGTGCCAGCAACCAATGCAGCGGCACCTGGTATGCGCGTATGAGGCATGACTCCACCTTGCCTTCCTGATCGTCCGACATTCTATGCACTTCTCAATAGAGAGAGAGAGAGACTTCAGCACTCTTTTGGCACAAGACA